CATGAAACAGACAAGCAAAGACTTCCCTTTGAAATTAACAACTGCCCAAGCCAAAACTTTGTTCCAGCACAGTGAACTGCTAGGCAACCTACAAGTCTGTATAACTATATTCCAAACTCCACAAGCAAAAACACACTTATTGAACAAATGATCCCTGCTTTCTAACTCATCATCACAAATACCACAACTCACATCCGACTCCAATCTCATGCGAATGAGCTTGTCTTTAGTAGGCAACCTATTCAAAACAACCATCCAAGCAACAATTGACATTTTAGGAATATGCAAAGGGAACCAGAGAAGACCTTCCCACAGAACTTTCTCATTCCTATCTTTAATTCTCTCATAAACCCAACTGCTTTTCACCACATCTCAAGCCTCCACATTAGCTAACAGACCAACCGCCTTATTCCTAAGCTTAAGAAGCTTTCTTAATATCCAGTTAAGCTAAGGCTTGTAACTAACATCACAAAAACCAACCCCTTTCAAAACATACTATTTGACCCATGCCACCTAAAAGGAACCAACACTAGCTAAAATATTCTTAGTCAGAAGAAAACATCAAACCTTATTCCAACAACGTAAGCTCTTCAAGCCTAAACCCCCTCATACTCTAACCAACACATTTGCTGCCAATTAACCTTAGCTCCCCTAGTTGGCAAGTCATCACCCTTCAAAAAAAACCTCATACAAAGCTACTCAACCTGTCGAATTACCTTATTTGGCAAAACCAACTGCCTACAACAAAAACTAGAAATACTAAACAAAACAAACTAGATAAGTTGTAACCTACCACCATAACTCAATTTCCTCTTAGACCACAACCCCAGCTTGTTTTTAATCTTTTCAATCAAAGGAAAACAGTCTTTTGCAGTTAATTTCCTAGTAACTAAAGGCACTCCAAGGTACCTAACAGGAAACTTTCCCAACTTAAAACCAGTGGCAGCCTGCACTCTACACAAAACATGCTCCTGCACCCCACAAGCAAATAACTCAAACTTTCCCACATTAAGCTACAATCCAAGCATTTCATAAAATAATAAAAGAACCCTAAAAACCCCCCAAAACTGAATTCCCAGTTCTATGACAAAAAATAAGCAAGTCTTCAGCAAAACTAAGATGTGTAAGAGAGAATCTCTTACACTTAGGATGAAAACGAAATAAACCATCATTAGCAGCAACATTTAACAAATGGGAAAGCACGTTCATGTCCATAACAAAAAGGTAAGGGGATAACGGGTCACCCTGTCTTATCCCCTTCTCCCATTAAAATAACACACTAAACTCCAATTAAAAGCAATAAAAAACGAGCACCAGTAACACAAGCTTTGATCCAACCCCTAAACACCTCAGGCAACCCCAGAGAATCAAGTATTTTCATAAGAAAATCCCAACTAACAGAATCAAAAGCCTTCCTTAAATCAATTTTAACAGCACACCTAGGAGAAAGAGAACTACGAGAATAACCCCTAATAACCTCTTGAGTTAACAAAGTATTATCAACAATGTTACGCCCCTTAATAAAAGCATATTGATTTGGTAAAATCATATCTGAAAATAAATTGCCAAACGATTCACAAGAATACCAGTAAAAGTTTTATACACTACTGAGCAACAAGAAATATGGTGAAAATCCCTAGCCATACTCACATTAGGAGACTTAGGAACCAACACAATTGTTGTAGCATTAAAAGTAGGAAGAAAAGACCCATACTGGAAAAAACTCCCTAATAACAGCAAGAAAATCATCATTCATAATATCCCAAACCACCTTGAAAAAAATAGTGTACCCATCAGGCCTTGGGCTTTTCTGGTTCCCCTGCTTAAACAACAATGACTTAATTTCCTTAGTAGAAACCTCTGTCAATAAAACATCAGCAGTCCCCAGAGGTAACTCATAATCCAACAAATCCTTAAGAAGCTCCATTGAACAACCTTTGACCACTGCATTCTCAACACCAATAAGCTCAGTATAAAAGCGCACCATCTTAGCAGAAATGCCTCAAAAGTATCCAACCGAATACCACTTCAGTATATAGCAATCTGATAGTATTTTTCTTTATCTTCCCCAACACAGTAGAGTGAAAAAAATTAGTACTTCTACCCCCCTCCCGAATCCAGTGAACTTTAGCTTCCTGCTTATAAAACGAAGCTTCAGCCACCTCCAAGTCACGAAGCTCTTCTTGAATAATCCGCTCATCCACCAAATTACTCCCAACATACAAAAGATTCAAAAGTTACATCTGCTCAAGATGATCTCTCTTAGCCTTAACCCTCCTAGAGATATCAGGAAAAAATCTGTTAAGCTCCTTAAGCCGCGGCTTGAGTCTTTTCAATTTAACAAGCAACCAGTGCATAACACTACCAGTCACTTCAAGCTGCCAAGACTCATTCAAAATATCCTTAAACTCACTGTGGACAATCCAACAATTAAAAAATTTAAAAGGCTTAGGCCTATCAACCTATTTCTCTTTAGAAAAATGAAACCATAGCATAATAGTGATCAGACACCCCATGAGCCTTGAACTCAACAAAAGAATCAGGAAAATCTTCAAGCCACCGAGTATTAATTAACACTCTATCAAGATTTCGAGCCAAATAATTCACCTCCTACCTATTAGACCAAGTAAACAGAGGCCCCACAAAATGATGATGTATTAAAACCAAAGAATTCATACAACCCCGAAAAGCTTTCATATAAGCAAAGTCATAAGATCTTATCATATCAAAATCAGAGTTTTCCTCTACACTAGCAATGACATTAAAATCCCCTCCAATCAACCAATAAGACAACCCCACCATGCTCTCCAACTGCCTCCAAAGATTTCGTCTATCATTCCCATTATTACATCCATAAACATCAGTTATAACACACATATGCCCACAAACCTCACCAACAATAGACAAAGACTGATAAAAAACTTTTCAAACAGCAAAATACTAAACTTTTCCTCCAAAAAAACCCACAGTCTCACATTCTCAATACTCTTATGATTGGAATAACACTCCCAATCCACATAAAAAAAGCAATCAATCTATCAACATTAACAACCTTCACACGGGTCTCCATAAGACAAACAACATCCACATTATATTTACCAAGCCTTGAAAAAATTCAAGATTGCTTTAAGGGATTATTAAAACCCCTGACATTCCAAAAGCAAACTATCATTGAGCAAGGATAAAGACTTAATCCCCTACAACAACTCCCACAACAGAATTACAACAACACCCATGGAAGCAACTCTAGGCTTCCTAGCACCCTCCATACCAGCAGTTGTCACCAACAACTCAAAACAATTCGAAGAACCAACAATTTTATTTTTATCTTTACCCCTCCCTTTGGCTTTCTTCTTCGCTCGAAGAAGCTTGCAAAACAGAAAAATCTTTCTCACCCTTATCAGCAGCCAATATTGCATTAGACTCACAAAGAGCATTAGTTTCTTCAACTAAATTAACAACCAATTCCTCCACCAGAGAACTAACCCAATGCTCCAGCCCCTCACCAATATCAAGAACAAGTTCCTGCAATGCCTCAACACCTCCCACAACAGTAGCTTCAACACACTAAGCTAAAACAACACCTTTCTTCCTCCAAACCTATGCCACAACGCGAAGCATATTTTTAAACCACATTATATCCCTTCTCACTATTCCCAAAGACATTACACATTCTACAACAATAAGGTAACCAGGGAACCACAACACGAATCAAAATGGCTAACCCATCCTTCACCACTACATCCACATATTTAGGAATCTGATCATTCACCCCTATTTCAATGCAAATCTTAGCATATTCCAATCTCGTTTTAGATGCAATAACAGAATCCATAGAGAGAGGAATACCTAACGCACTCGCTATGTAAGTTAACCCAGTTCGCGAATAAAGCTCCAATGGCACGTTATAAAGTTGGACCCAAACAGGGATTATAGATAAATAGAAATCTAAACACTTCATGCTTAGCTGCCACTTCCTTAAAACCAATGACTTATTTTGAATATACCACAGTCCATTCTCTAAAACCCAGTCACGGGAAGATTAAGAAGTAAACGAAAAAACGTAAAAATTAGTACCCGCTCCATCAAAGCCTTCTTCCATAAATTATCCACAATCCTCTGTATATAAGCAAAATTATGCACATCCCCAAGGAATTGCCCCACCAAAGACAACTTCCAAGGAATTGTCCCACCAAAGACAACTTCCATTCTGAAATACCATCATCAAAAACCTCATAGGGAGGCTAAACAATCGGAATCCCATCCCGAACCACCGGAGGAAAGAACTCCAAAGCCTGCCCAGCAGTACCCCCAAAAAGCTTCCTTCAATATAGCGTACCAACACTCATAATGAAAAGAAGATCATAAAAGGTAACAAGCAGAAGAAAACCAATAGAAAACCACCAGAAACGCATTGGAAAACTCAGATCCCATTAGCCCTACTAACATGCACCCAAAGAAAACTGTAAATGTGTGCCATTCAAATTTTTAAAAATGACATTCCCTAATAACTCCCACAAAGGTTATTATAGTCTCTACATTCGTTAATGTTTAAAATGTAAAAAGAAACGAGCTTATAAATGAGCCATGATAAAAAATGGGTCTAAAATGACAAAAGAATTGAATGAATAAGAAAATTATGGATTAAATCACAAAACTGATAAAATAGGCAGCAAAAATTTTTATTTTTCAAGTGATACAAAATTTTCAAACTTCAACTCGATTTGAACTCGAAAACTGATTCAATAATTCAAATTAATTGGAATAACTTGATTCGAATAACTCAAAATTTTAAAAGATAATTTTTCAAGTTGAGTCAAATTTTACTCCTTCCTACTAATACAATCAATTTTCATTAGTAATTAAATAAAATCAAAAACTAAATAAATTAGTTTAAAAATATTTAATAAATTAAATAATATTCGATGATGATAATATAGGCCCAATTAGCGTGGTTGAGTAATAAACCCAAAGTGTAAATGTTAGCTATACAAAGCTTCTAATTTCTTCTCCTTCTTCCCCAAATCTCTCTCCCCTTTGTTCACTTAAGTATTTGCTCGAGTTTGGGTTCTCGAAAATGCTTGCTCGGCTCGCGTCCCAACGTTTTCTCGAGATCCATCAAGCTTTCCGTCAATCTCCTCAGTTATTCATTCCCCTTTGTTTCTTTCTCGTCATTTCCGTCATTTTCTGCTCATCCAAACACCTCCTCGATAGGGATGGAAACGGGCCGGGTTCGGGCCGGGTATTGGTCCCCCGTCCCCGTTTAAAAAACCGGTACCCGTCCCCGTTTAAAAACCGCGAAGATTTAAACGGGGATCCCCATCGGGTAATCGGGAAAAATCGCGGGGAAACGGGTATCCCCCGTTTAGCATAAACGTTTATTTAAACGGGTATCGGTAGAGTTGTCCATTCGATTAATGTGGTGGTCGAACCGACCGAACTACCATTAACTGAATTAACCAATTTTTTTTAACCGTTAATAGAACCAATTTTTTTTTCGAAAATATTAACCGAACCGAATAAATTTCGGTTAATTCGATTAATTTTTGAATTAACCGAAATTTTTTAGAATTTTCGAATTTAATACTAGAGAGCAGCTGTTGTTCCATTTGCTAGGGAAGAACGTGATGTTGGTATAGGTCCCGAGGCTGATTTTAATATGGCTAATTCACATGCTTCGCTTTGTTAGAGGAACGTTAAAGTTTGTGTAATGGAGACAGTTTGTATGAAATTATTGGAATGCGAGGTGAAAATGAGGATTGCTGTCGAAGAGACGAAGACAATATGCAAGTTGCATTGATTTTAAATTATGCTGGACATAATTTCCAGCTTGCCAATGTTAGTGGTAGGCTTCAGGTGTGTAATGGTGTACTGGACGAGGACCCTGCAACAAGTACACGTTTGTTGGAAGTGGCATAATACTAGTAAACCAACCAGACTTTTCCCATTTAACTAGACAATATTTGTTTATTAAAAGATATTAAAGGTTCACACATGATTGCAAACAAGAAATGTAAGCACTATTTTCACTATTAAAAGAAAAAAAAAGAATATTATGATACAGCGAAAATTGAGGTAAATTTTAGAAATTGAAGCGGGGACGATGTTTTAAAGTTGGGCAATATGGGATGAAAAAAATAATAAAAAAATATTTAAGGGTTAATTTAAAATATGTTATTAATATTATATATAAAAAAATAATTATTTTTAATATTTATCGGGTCAGGTAATCGGGGTGGGTAATCGGACTAGGGATTACCAAACCCGTCCCCATCCCCGTTTAACATAAACGAGTTTTCCCTATCCCGTCCCGTCCCCGTTTATCATCTCCGAACCCGTCCCGTTAAATTCAATTTTCAATTTTATCGAGTTCGAGTTTTTTTACCATTCCTACTCCTCGATCTCATTTCTCTGTTCCTTAGGCATATCGATCTTTCTCCACTGCCTTGAACTATGTAAGTTCCAATCTTTCCACATTACAATGCCGATTTTTAGGGGATTTTCCTTTACGGGAATAAATAGCTGATTGAATGAATTTGGGGTCCTCCCCTGCAGCATCTTGATACCCCAGATAACAATCCCGACCTTCCATGGGAATTTTCCGAGTCGAACAAAGCAAAGGTCAGTTCAAATGAAATGTTTGCAATTGGAGTTATGGGTTATGTTTTCTCCATCATTGTAGATTGCAAAACTTTTGATTTTGAAGGTATTAGTAGATTGTGGATTTTGGGATTGGGTAAAAATTTGAGGAGCTCTAACGATATCCAATAAGTTTAAGATATTGAGATAAAGGATGTTCATTTCGCTTTCATTACTTATATGAACTTAAGGATTCGCTTGTTACTATGGTTGCTTAAAAGCTTGTTTGTTCTAAGCTATGCTACTTCTACTCTTCATTTTTGTTGAAGCATCCTTGCCCGATATTTGTGTCCAACATATAATAAGGATATTACCTTCCAAGGATCTTTTAAATACTTGGAAAAATATTAGAAAATAAATTAACTTTATCATTTCCGTCGGAGTCGGAGTCGTAGTATCATGGATTTGAAGAATTCTATGAGAGTAGAATACATATTTTTTCTCTCTTGTTACATCAATCTCTTTTGAATTGTGTGGAAGTTGAATTAGATTTAAATTTACTTTAGGTATTTTAAGTTGCTTAGTAATTTTATAACATTTTTAAAATCCAAATTTGATTATGGTCTTAATCCAAACTTGTTATGTAGGTCAAGGAGATATTGTCTCACTATCCATCCAACTACAAGCAATCTGCAGTTATTCCTTTGCTTGATCTTGCTCAGCAGCAGCATGGAGGATGGCTTCCCGTTTCAGCAATGCACGCTGTATGTGGCACGAATAATGTTAAATAAATTTGATTGCATGTGTCAATACTCTCTGGTTTGTACGCTTACACTTTTAGAAAGTCTGTGATATTTAGTTAATATGAGGAATTAGACCTATAACTCTTTTGGACTTGAAAACTTACCACTTTTGGAGGCGAAGTTCAGTATTTTTTTGGCTTATTATTAAATTTTTTCCATTTTATTTGATTTCTGTTTTGCAATTAATATGCTTTCTTTGTGCCAAAATGCATTACAAACTTGCACTTCATGAAACATGTATGGTTTTAACCTTTAATGCTAAATATAATAGAAAAGGATTGCTTTTAGATTAATATTTGTCCTAGTGAAAGCTGTTTTTGATGACTTGAATAAAAATTTCCCAAATCATATTTATTATATTTTCAACAATTTCCAGGTCTGATCAATTACTAACATTTTTTATGTTCTCTGTTTCCTTTTTTCATATTTGGTAGCATTTATGCATGTCCTATATTGCTGGTGAATTTGAGCAAGTAGATCACAAATTTCATACAACTGCCTGCTGACCTGATACTAATATCCAGAAAAAGGATTACTGGGGGCAAGTTGCTTAAGCTTGTTCTACAACTTTACCACTCTACTTTTGCTGCACCACTCAAAGCAAAAGGGGAATTACATGTTAGTACTGGACTAGTAGTGCTTGATCTCATGTTAATATACAATGTGATGTGACCGAAAATTCAAGTCGATGAATGTATAGGTCATGTATAGAAAGGAAAAGTTGATATAACTTTAGGGGTACAAAGCAGGATGATTACATCTAGAATTATTTGAGCTGAGGCTCAATTTGATTGTTAGACTGAATACATAATTGTATCATTGCAATATTTGTCTTTTCAATAGCTAGTTTTCCTCTATCTGAAATTGTGAAAGAGTGATATTTGGCTAGATCTTTTAAATACTGAAACAGTGCCTGTGTAAGCACATTTTTAGATCACCTAGTATTACATGGACATTACTTAATCATGCATCACTGAGTTATTAAGTTTCTGCTTGAAATGTAACACTGGTAGTGGTATGCCCGAATAGAGCATTCGTTTTTTTCCCCCTGTGGCTAAGGTGCAGTTCTTTTCTTAATGGAAAAGCTAAATGAATTATATTCTGAATCAAACATGTAATTTGGTTGCGCAGGTTGCAAAGGTTATAGAAGTTGCACCTATTCGTGTATACGAGGTTGCAACATTTTATTCAATGTTCAATCGGTCAAAGGTCAGAACTATGTCTTTATTTGGCACCTTGAAGCCTCTTTAAGGTACCATCAATGAACAAAGTTACAGTGCCTAGAGTTTGTTCAATTGTTCTCAGGTCGGGAAATATCATCTATTGGTTTGTGGCATTCATCTTTTGATTTTAAGACAACTCAAGTTTTTCTTAAGCGTAAGTATCACCTAAGGATCAAAACCCATACTTAAAATCAACAAACAACCAAGTAATCAGAAACTCACCTTTGCTCCCATGATTCACGGTGGAGAAGAATAAAGCAAGAAGAAGAAGAAGATAACTCTCCCCCCACGTGATTCATTCTTATCAATAGGGAAAATATATTTCTTGTCAAATGACCATTTTTCTCGTTAATTCATTTGATAATTACTAACAACTTTCAGGAAATATTTCCAAATAAATCATTGAACTATTCATCTATTCCACTTTAAATCACCAAATTCTAAAACTTTACAATTTAATTACTAACCATATATTGTTGATGTTACAGCACGTGAGCATTTCCCGCTCGTATATGCATATGTCAGTATGCTATAGAGAGATTAAAAAAAGATGATCCCGACTATAATATGTTATTTTGTTGAGTTTTTCGACCATTAAAAATTATAAAATAGTCACTCGACTATTCATTTCAAACTCGTCATTTTTCGTTAAAAAATTGATGTTCCTCTGAGCTGAAATATGATAGTTGTTTGAGATTATAGGATTTTATTTTGTCATATCTTAGTTAGCAGGTTAAATCCATCTCAGATTGCAACCTATTTTTTAATGGAAAAGACGAGTTTTAAATATGTGAATAGTTAGATGATCATTTTATAATTTTTAATAATCAAGAGACTTAACAAAGCTACGACGTAAGACTCATTTTATAACTTTTAATAATCGAAATACTCAACAAAGTAACACTCTATAACGAGTGATCATTTATTTACTTTACCATAATTTTAAATATATATACCACATTCTTCTTGGATCGAATAATATGCACAATCAAATTTTGATTTATATAATATATAATATAAAAATAATTAAATAAAAAAAACAACATCATAGTTCAAATTGTAAGGGTCCAAAATCCATAATTTTATTAAGGGTAAATTACACCAATCATCATTGAAATTTTTTCTCTCTCATATTTCATTCATTGTGCTTTAAATCCATTCAATTTCCTCATTAAACATAATTAGCATTTTTGGTCACTCAGTAATTTTCTCACTAAACGATGTTATAAATGAGCTGTTATATAGATGCAAAATGACGTTGTTTTGGTGAAAATTTTGTTTTTCTAAAATGAAAAATGGTTGATTGGCCAAAAATGCTAATTATGTTAACTTTATTGAAGAAATTGAACGAATTTAAGTAAAGTGAGTGAAATAAGAGATAGAATAAAGTTCAGTGACGATGAATGTAATTTACTCTTTTATTAAAGGAAAAGGTCAAGAACGAAGGATTAAACGTGGAAAACGACATTTATATATAGAATTTTTTATAGTGACAGTGACGATGGAGATGGTAGAATTGGACAGCTTCACTTTCTGTTGTTCACAAATGTCAAGGCGCTGTCCCTTTCTCTCTCCCACACACTCAATCCCACCAAACCCACCCAACTTCAAAGGTCAAATAACATCTGCCGAGACGAAACAGGACAATGATGTTCCGAAACGCCGTCGCCTTAGCTCCGACAATCATGATGCTGTCGTTGTCTTCGCCCAAGGGCTTCGTGATCGGGCCCGACGACCTCCCTTTCGGATCCGTTGAGTGGTTTTTCTACGCCGGATTGTCGTGCTTGTTGGTGCTCTTCGCCGGTATAATGTCCGGTCTCACCTTGGGCTTTATGTCTCTCAGCCTCGTCGACCTCGAGATTCTGCAGAGAAGCGGCACCGTCATCGAGAAGCAGCAAGCTTGTAAGTGTTCTCTCTTTTGCTTTCTTTATCGGTCAACGATGACACTTCCCACTGATTTAAGTTACTACTTGGAATGGTCCTTTACGGTACGACTCATTAGCTAAACTAAGATGGTGACGATTCATAGAGACAGGGATGGTTTGAGGGAGGTGGTTGAGGGTAGTCCTGGGAAAGTTTCAAATTATCATATATTTTAGATGTTGTCTCTAGAATTTTGTATGTTCGTTTCCACCTTAAAATTTTAAAAATTTGATCCTTAGCATAAAATCCTGCGTGTCACATATGAGTTATTTGAGTGTTTAAAACTTCTTGAGCAAGATAAATTTGAGTAGCTAATACTTGTTCAAAGATTCTTGAATTCGAGTTTGAACACAAATTATCAAGCTTAGGTGAGTGTAAGAATTGAGTTTATTGGTTTATATTAGGTAAACGTGTTTAGTGAAGCAAGTTTTATTAGCTCAATCTTTTACCTTGAATCAAGCTCAATTTTTCAAAAATGAAACTTGATCAAGCTTGGAGTGAATTATAGTTTAGGTTTCCAAGCTTCGGGTCGGCTCAATTACGCCCGTGGTTTCGAATTTTGAGTGTTCAAAGCTTCTTGAGCAAGATAAATTTTAGTATCTCATCCTTGTTCAAAGCTTCTTGAATTCGAGTTTGAACACAAATTATCAAGAGTTTATTTATTTATATTAGGTGAACGTGTTTAACTTGAATCAAGCTCCAATTTTCGAAAGTGAAGCTTAATCAAGCTTGGATTGAATTTGTGTCTAGGTTTTCGAGCTTCGGGTTGGCTCGATTACACACTTAGTTTCGATTTTTTAGTTCTCAAGATCTATCTATTTCACGTCTGTGCAGCTGCTATCTTACCAGTTGTTATAAAACAGCATCAACTTCTTGTAACTTTGCTTCTATGTAATGCTGCAGCAATGGAGGTGAACAATTCATCTGTTTTTCTTTACTTGATTGATAGATTATAAAGCATTTTTCCATATCCTTAATCTTTCGATTTTGTGTTTTTGCAGGCCCTTCCTATATCCCTTGATAAAATTTTTCACCCCTTTGTTGCAGTGTTGCTGTCTGTTACTTTTGTTCTGGCCTTCGGAGAGGTATTACTTCTTTTTATTGCTTCATTTTCCGCGTGCTTATGCCCGATGTTGGCTGTTCTTGTATCTGAGCATCCGATACATACTGTATCTTTGAAGGGTCATTTCTGCAGTCATATTAGACATGGATACTTTTAGAAAAATGAAGAGTTAGACCCTTTGTAAAGCCTGGAAAACTTGAACATGCTTGTTTCTGATACATATTCGTATTTTATAATAGCGCTGGAGTCCAAGTAAAATAACTTAGGCATGGAGAACAAGATGTATTAATTTTATACCCATTTTGAATCAGATTATTCCACAAGCAGTATGCTCAAGATATGGACTCTCTGTTGGTGCAAATTTCGTGTGGCTCGTGCGGATTCTGATGATCATCTGTTATCCAATTGCTTACCCTATTGGAAAGGTAATATATATGATATTTCTTGAAAACTGTAATTTTCTTAGATATTAAATAATGTTTTAGATTTTAACTTGGCAATAGTAGACACGAAATGAAAAAAAAAAGTATGACATGAATGGTGAAATATGAACACGATTATAACGCAAGAAAAATATATGAATACGACATGGATACATGAATTTTTATGGTTAACAAGTAAACGCCATGTGTCATTGGGTAGTGCTTTGTTTCTTTCCTGAGGTTGCTTGAATTATATATTGCTTCCATGGACATGGTTTTTAGGTTCTGGATGCTGTACTTGGCCATAGTGATGTTTTGTTTAGACGAGCGCAGATAAAAGCACTTGTTTCGATCCACAGCCAAGAGGTAATGAGTTGAACTAGACATGATAGTTTTTCTTAAAACAAGTTTAATAGTATGTTACTCCGGCTCGGGTGTGAGTGTTGGATATGGATGTATGTCCAACTTGAGTATGTTCAGTTTTTTCTAAGCTTTTCTATGTATTCAGAGGGTCTTTGGAGGATCGTATCTCGTGCCTATGTCTGAATATGTGTTGACATGAGTACTTAAAGAAAAAGGAATAGTTGAAGCAACACGGGTTTGTGTTTGTTTCATATGAATTTTCACTAACTTGTCATTGATTTTGTTCTTAAATAGGCCGGCAAGGGCGGTGAACTAACACATGATGAGACGACCATCATTAGTGGTGCACTCGATTTAACTGAGAAGGTAAATGCATTTGTCAGTTAGACCACTTGAATGTAAGTATCACTATCGGATACATGTGTTTAATATGTGTATATTTACGCAAATTTCGAACATGAATACTTACAAGAAAATGAAAAGCAAATTGAAATGGCATTACTATTTACATCTGCGTGTTAATAGAAACTTCGAGTTTTTAGACGTTTCATTTGATGGAGTATGGATATTGTTCTCAGACAATAGATGATTAACAAACATACTCATATCTGCATCATAGCAACTATGTTACTCGGACTTGTGTGTGAGTTTCGCATCCCAATATGCGTCCAGCATCGGTGTCGTCAAATATTTCTACAGGTTTTTTATGTTTTGGAGGATCATATTCTCATACTCATGTCTGGGTATGTGTGGAACAAAAGTACTTCAGAAAAATGAAGAGCCAAAACAACATAGGAAATCAAACGCGTTAAACTTAACCAGTATCAATTGTAAAACAGTCATATGTATATTATTATAGTTTAATCTTTTTACTTTTACTACTTTTACATGCATACATATGTACATATTATGTTGTCCCGGTCCTTAATTTTTCTTGAAGTACCCATGTTCAACTCTTATGTCCGACAACGAGTATATGAGGATGTGACCTTCAAGATCATCCAAGTACATGAAAAGACTTGAAAAAATCTGGTGACACTCGTCTTAGACACGTTCTTATGTCAAACATTCACACACCCGACACCGAGTAATACAACATGAATTAGTTTCACTTCGTTTTTTTTCACTTAGGGATAACGCAGAACCTGATGAGAGTTCATTGTACTGTCCTTTGTGATTGAATCCTGATGCTTGTTAGAACATGCAGACTGCAGAGGAGGCTATGACACCAATCGAATCAACATTTTCCTTGGATGTCAATTCGAAATTGGATTGGTGAGTTTCAGCTAGATGGTGTTCATTTTTGTTGCCACGCATTTTTTTTGTTGCTCAGGTTCTTCATTTTGCTCAAAGTACGGTGTCCACAATTGCATCTGATACATTTTCGGACACGGGTAT